TATAATTGTTAACAAAACTTTGGTTATATTTCTTCTAAAAATAATTAATTAATCAGTCTTACAATCAGCACTTTTTAAATAAACAATATTTTTAAAAAAAGTAGGACTGGCAATCTCTCCCGAGCTGTCCGGGAGTGACGGCCATAGCGATCAGGGAGAGTTAGCCAATACTTATTTTTCCTTTTCCTTTCCCCTTGGAGTCCTTTAATTCTTTTTTCTTTTTATTACCACACCCTGAACACATGTCCTCAAACTCAGTGCAATTTTCGTGTACCCATAGATTGCAAATATTGCACTGCACCCAGTCCTCGATGAGCTGAGTTTTGTAGTAATTTTCACCATAGCCTCTACAGTTATCTTCCTCTTTTTCATCGTCGTCACTTCCAGAGGTATCGCAGAAAACCATAGGAATTTCTTCGCAACTGTTATCGGAGAGTCTACGCAGTGCTTTTCTCTTTCTAACAGTCTTTGTAAGTGTCTTTTTCCCTTTATCTTTGCCTTCTTGCTTGTTAATTTTGCCTCTTTTAATTTTATTTTCTTTTCCTGCCTTCTCCTGCTCTTTTATTTTACGACTCTCTATGTGATTTTCAGATGTCAATATAATACTCACCTGTTTAGCTCGTCTGCGAATCTCTTGGATTTTTTGGGGCAACGGTGACACTTCGTTTAGAACTCTTGTTGGCGTAGGCTTGCTACATGATGGTTGGTCTGTCGAAGTGCTTGGAACAGGAACAAAAGTCGTTGCAGTTGGTTGGTTTCCAGTTTCATCACGCTTATCATTTGGAATGATAGCATCTCCGCTAAAGGCGTGCTCTGGTATGGCACCTGGATTTAGAGGAAAAACGCCCGTTGCTTTAAATCCTGACATCGCATTTTCACTAGATGCTGCTTTTCCCCAAGCTGTATTAAGCAGGCTACCAAATTGAAGTCTTGTAATTCGTCGTTCCTTTTGTTTAGTCCACAGCCGACATGCCTCGTAGAAATGAGTTTTAAGAGACTTAAAAACAGCCACATCTAGTAGTTGTAGATAGTGTGATGTATGCCCATACACAGAAGTACAATATCATTTTCATTAGCAAATTCCAGCATCCTTACTGAATTACAGTGGGTAGAATGCCCATCAAGTAACAGCAAAACTTTTCCTGCTGGCTTACGTGGTACGAAGTGAGTTTCCATCCATTCCAAAAATATATCAGATGTTATATAGGCCGATTTTTGGTTCATAAAGATCACTGACCCTGCAGGCATTCCATCTTAAAATTCTGGTTTTTTTCTTTGGCCTTTCATTATGCAAGCTGGTGGCAAAAAGTTTCCTTCAGCGTTACAACAGGCGATTATCGTTATAGTTTCACCTTTTTCTGTAGACGTAGTCATAGACACAGCTTTTGACTCTTTTTCTGCTAGAACAAGTCCTGGACGATTATTAAGCTGTAACCCAGTTTCGTCCATGTTAAAATTAAATATGTGACCAGGTTTGTCAAGCAAATTATGTTCAGTAAGGACATTTTCTAGCATTGTGAAATACGATGAAACTTCAATTCTGTAGGTCTACTCTGATTCGACGAAAAACGAAGTTTCGTTCGAAATTTCGCAAGTTTCCTACTACGGTTCTCTTTCTTGCGAAACTTCGTCCGAACGAACGAACTTTAAGGCATTTTGACGTTAAACACTACTCTAATTCATTTTACGAACGAACGAAAATTCGAATTTGACAGATTATTGTTCGGATTCTAAATGTCATTTCGACGAAACCAAAATAGTTATCGTTTAATTTTCGTTTGCCACATAATAACTCTTGTTGTGTATTTAAACATTATTTTTTGATAATTCTAGTTATCAATTTTAATTATTACTACATAAAATTAAGAGTGTTGAAGCTCTCTTGTTAATTATTATTTTAAAATGGCAATGTTTGACGTCGTCAGCGTCACTCTTTGGCGGCAATTTAAACCAACTACGCGCGCTCAGAGTAATAAGTACTTCTTCGAGGCGTTATCATAATAATAGTCGTATTATGGCTGCGAGACATTTTCTTGTGGAAGCTGCAATGCGGGAAGAACGCACAGAGCGGCAAAGAAACCGTCGTCGTCTCCGGCTCCAACTGGATGTCGAACATATTCCCGACTTAGAATTTGTAAGAAATTACAGACTAAATCGGGAATTGTTCGAACAATTGTGCCAGGACATAATTCCCATACTCCCTCCGAAGATGAGAAAACATGGGATCGAACCCACCCACAAAGTAAGTACCTACCTGTAGCCTATTTAGAAATTGTTGACTTTGATTAAATACCTACTATAGTTCTACTGTTTCAATGTTAACCTGTTAACTTTTTTAGATACTGACTGCGTTGCAGTTTTTTGCCCGCGGCAGCTACCAAGGCTCTTTGGGTCAAAATATGGACCCACCCTATTGTTGGGCCATGCCCAACAAACCGTCTCACGATGCTTGCGTGAAGTAACATCGGCACTCAATGCACCCAATATCCTCAGGAAACACATAAAATTCCCACAAACCCGAAGCGATAGGATGTCCATTAAGCAGAGGTACCTACTATTATTAACTTGTAAGCATGATAGCAAACAATTATCTCAATTTTATCACAAACGTAGCCGTTTGAAATTCGCGCGCGCCAGTGCGCGTCTCTTATCAGTGGCTAGTCACGTGGCCTCGCAAGCCTGCGTTTTGCGTGTTCCCTCCACCATGTAATGCATCTCGCAAGCCCGCGAATGAAGTAGGTATCAAAAACTTAGTTTCGAGTCATGAAACGAAGAATCAATGTAAAGATACCCTATAAAAACTTTGACTCAGTGTGCAATCTCATTTCATCATCATTCAATCATAATCTTACATAAAGGTTTTATCTATGTTCTTTAGAATTATAACTTGAACACGGTCAGAAAAATAATACGTAATAGTTAGCTCTCTAGATTTAAAAAGGACAGTGCCTATTTGTCTCCTGCTAATGTATAGAAATGAAAATCCCAAAGTTTTATTTGTAATTGAAATTACCTATGTTTTGACCGCGTTTAGCTACCAACAGCTATATTCCAATTTACGCATAATTAGTCGATGATAGATTTGACTCAACGTTGCATTTGATTCATTATTGTGCTTCATAGTTCATATTTCATCATACTTTTTTAATCTAAAAAATAAACACAACTAAATAAAAATTAACCAAATAGTTAATATGTTCAGCACAAGTGAAATGAATTTTATTTAATTAATTGACAGTTCTGACATTGCGTTTTGCGTTCCGCAATTCTTGTTGTTTTACGCCGTTATTGTGAACTACTGTGTGAGTTTTGTAGATTTCTTCTTATAATGACTATATTTAGTTTACCACCTCGATATCTTTTTCATTCAACGACATTGCAAATCGTCGGCTCAACAAATCCGCTGCTATCTATCAGCAACAAGTTGAAACATCAGATTTTTGGGCATTGCTCGCGTCGCGTTTACATTGATCAAAATTAATTAAGGACCTTAATTTCCATACCCACGGGGAGTACCTATTACTATAATTTTAAGTTCTTGATTTTTAATGTTCTACACAATTAAGAAAAAATCCGCTCAAACATACTCGCTTCCCATGGCGCGGGCTTGTGAGTTATATGGTGAAATAGTTCAAGAGATCACGCAGCTAATAGTTGATAGAGGCTGTTGTCTTATCGTGTTGTGATAAAAATGGGAAAGATTTTTGTTAAATTATCTGTCATTTAATTAAAACCTTAAAATCCTGTCCTACATTTTTGTTATTACTACAAAAATGAACAGCAGGTTATTATTTTATTTATTATAACTATAACATTGTATTATTGTAGATTCTATGAGAAGTATGGGATTCCTGGAGTTATTGGGTGCATTGATTGCACGCATGTTGCCATAGTAAGACCCGTTGAGCACGAAGAATAATTCTTCAATCGAAAGCATTTTCATTCAATCAACACACAAGTTGTAAGTGTTAATAAAATTTCTATTAATTTTACTACTAAATGCCTAAATTTACAAGTACTAAATAGTCTTACATTGATTTCATTATTTTTTAGATATGTGATAGTGATTTATTGATCACCAATGTGGATGCGGGATATGGTGGAGCAACACATGATGCCTACATTTGGAGGGAATCTGAAATTCGCTCCCACCTGGAGAGTCTTCAAAGCGAGACATCCTATCTACTGGGTATGTTAATTTGTCATTACTATGTATGTAATAATGTGTACCATATTCATACAATTTTCATTAACATGTTATTATTTTCAGGTGATTCTGGTTATGCTCTGCGGGAGTATATGATGACCCCAGTGGATAATGCCATCGAGGACTCTCCAGAGGGAAGGTATAATTCCCTCCAAAAACGTGCACGCTCCACCATAGAACGTACATTTGGTGTCCTCAAAGGTCGATGGCGATGTCTTTTATCAGCTCGGGAACTTCATTACTGCCCAGCCACTGCAGGTCAAATTATATTGGCCTGTTGTGTTTTACACAATATTTGTGTTCGGGCTGGTATTGAGGCTCCCGAGTTGTTACAAGATGACATCGACTCTGAGAGGACACAACAGGTGGCATCCCAGGCAGCACCGACTTCGACCAGCCAAGCGTTACAGGCTGGTCGAAGAGCGAGGCTGACCTTAATCCATACATTGCAAAGACACCAGTGAGTTGCACTTATCATACAACTGTGTAAGAAAGAAAATCAATCAATTTATCTAATAGATTTATTGTTTTGTTTTAGATAACGCATGAAGACAGCAATATCAACATTTTTTTATTTATACTCTTAATTTTACAATTTTATTATATGGATATATCTTTTATCTTTTTTTTATTTAACCCTGAATCAGTATTAAGTGCATATTGAATATAATAATTAATAGTATGGGGAAAAAACAAACAACAAGTCTAAGTTAAAGCATTTATTACAAATAACTTATAAAAATATTTGTTACATAATAATTGTTACAAGCTTTTTGCATGTAAATAGAATAAAAGTTTTATAAAAACAGAATAATAAGTTGTCCATCAGAGACACATTTCCCTGATATATTTATGTATTATTTAATCCAATATTCATAATTATATGCGTAAGTACAATAACAGCATACAGACAGTACCTACAAAATTAAAACAGACCAATTTATTTGACAGAGAAATAATTTTAAACAATCGTTTCTAACATGGTGCAGTGGTGCGCACAAATGTGCATATACCTCTAATATTATACATATACCTAAAATGTGAAACAATGCTTTTGTATAAATAAGCTTATAGCTAACAAAAATCATCCAAATAACGATACGCTGGTCCCATAAGATATCTAGAATAATCTAGATTACTTCAGAACTAAGTATTAACTTGTCCTTGCAATTAGATTAATTAGGTACTAATTTGAGTATTGTTCAATGGAGCCGAATTAACATGTTGCCTAGCATTTTTCTACTTAAGTAGTGGGTTTTCGATTTTTACAAATTCGCATAGAGTAGGTAATAAATAACATAACTGGTGAAATGTGGGTGATACTTAGGTAAATATAATTCAAATTTATGGCTTTTCCGACAGTTTTGCTAAATAATTTAATATTTGCCTTTGTATCCCACACATTTCTTCCATGGCAGCCCTTATGCCGGCAAGTTCTTGGTTCCTCGCCGTTTCCCGTTGTTCACGTCTGTCCTCGTATTCAAAAAGTCTGCGTCTGACGTCAGAGCCAGCAGCAGACCGTATCCTTCGAGGACGATGACGTGACGATTGCGAGGCTGAAAAAAACGTTAAAATTAATAAGTACCTATGTACCTCTACCAACATTATCAATTTCTTAATATAACAATAGGTACCTATTATTTTTCATTTCTAACACCCAATGTGTTAATTATTATTCTGCGACATACAATGGTATAGAGTATACGTATACCTCTACTTTTAATCAGGGAAAAAATGCATGATAGTAAGTACTTATTTATATCGTTCTTTCTCGATTGGATAGGTACTTACATGGCACAATTACTTCGTGTATTTGATCTGGCACAATTAGTTCTTGACTGGGTTCAGCACTCGAACACTCAACTCTCGGGATGGCACCTAGATGCAACTCAAAGCGTGGCGGTTGACTGGAGGTAGACGGAGCAAGTTCATATGCCTAGGTAAATTGAAAGATTTTTTATTACCATTTGTAACACTAAATCTGGAAATATGGAAGTATTTAACCATTTATTTTGAAAGAAATAACATAACATAATAGTATGAACTTTTATATATTTCATAATAACTATAACTTTTATATATTTCATAATAACATTAACATAATAGTATAGTTCATAGTATATTTTCCATATATAGTATATATACTTATGTATGTACTATATATACATAGTATACGAAAATTGAATTTGGGTGTCTCCACCAGGAGGGCACCGGTATGTTTATGGGCGCTGACACCTTCCTGGGGTGCAGTTGCAGTGGTGTTGGTGGCAGCTGGATGGCGCCAGCGCGCCGCCGGGCCTCCACCGCAGCTAGGCGCCGCGAGCGCCGCGCCGCTCGGCGGTACTCGTTAATTTTACTAAAACAAAAACCAATGTCATTTAAGTTTACAAGTAAATATATTTATGCTTTTGCGTATCAAATCTACGAGATTACGGCAAAAACTTAGTTGTATGACCCATTTACAAGAGCTGGACATGAACATGCTCAAAAACTTTAGGTACATGGAATATTTCGTAAACATTACTTAATAGCAGTGTTTTAAGTAAATAGGTCCGATAATTGATTAATAAGGACAACACAATCACTTACCAGTGAACAAAATAAACTGCCATCCAGACAATGGCGAACATTATGGATAAGCTCATATCCAAACTTCGACTTTGGTTCGAAAAGTTTTACGAGTTTGACTGCGAGCGCGCGAAATGTCAAAAGTTTTACTTTTGACAGATGACATTTAGCAAAGGTTTTAACTAACGTTGGATATTGACTTTTTGGTCCCTTGAATGGTGACGAAAAGTTTTCACCCATTAATTTAATTGGGTAATGAAAATATAATAGAAAACTCCGAGAATTATAGTTTTTATTATAAAAAATTGTTTTTATTCCACTGAAGGAATGAATTTACAGCATGTAGTATCCAGCACTGCCCTTCGGCCAGCAGGTAAACGCTCATGCAGCAGAGTTGCGACACAAAACATTCGACTATAGTCGACATGTGTTTCGCTCTTCCACGGTGCATTCTCAGGAATCGTTGACTCGGCGGCTACCGCGGCTCGAATGACTCGAATGACTCGATCGGGTACACCGGTCCTGTTTTTTTTTGAAATGACCTCTTGTAGTTCAGTAGGCTAAGGCTGTTGACGACTTAACCGGACAATCACACCGGTCCAGGTAGGTAGGTACTTATTATCTCGTATAGGTTTATCTTAAAACATTTCGATAGTTGGTTATAGCGCCTGGTGGACATGGTATTTAAAATCTTCAAAGGTACCGCCGTGCATTGTATTACCGTTACCAGCAAACTAATATGATTCTATTGTGCGTATGTAGGTATGAATCATACATATGAGGTTTCTTTGAAAAAACAATTAGGTATATGGTAGATTTTGGCTTTAGTTCTCGTGGTATTTAAAATCTTCAAAGGCACCGCCGTGCATTGTATTACCGTTATCAGCAAACTAATGTGATTCTTTTGTGCGTATGTAGTATGAATCATATGAGGTTTCTTTGAAAAAGCAATTAGGTGTATGGTAGATTTTGGCTTTAGTTCTCGTGGTATTTAAAATCTTCAAAGGCACCGCCGTGCATTGTTTTGCCGTTATCAGTAAACTAATGTGATTCTATTGTGCGTATGTATGTGTCATGTGAAATTTTAGGTTTCTTGGAAAAAGGTGAGATGATCGAGATAACATTGAAAAAAAATACCACCCACGGTGATCGTAGTCTTACGTGGTTATATCTTTTCTAAATTGTTCTATATTTAAAACCTCTAATTATTTATTACATCGTAGAGTATATGTAAAGGATTTTGTTTGATTTATAAGGTTGTTTATCGTTTCTGAATAGGTACATTTTGTAAAGGACTTTTATAGAATAAGTACTCTTTATAATGTAGTTTAGTACATATGAATTTAGTAAATACAGAATTGCATAAGATTATTTTAATAATTGTTGTTCGTAATCTTCACATTCTACATAATTCACCTACTTATAAAAGGAAATCAAAAAATATTATATCTCAGACCTCAAATTGACTTTACTTCCGGTCATTCGGATTTCGTTCATAGGTTTCACACTATTTGCAATTTTTAAAGATTGTTTACATACACGACGCCGACGTGTGGACTAGAGACCGTATAAAATGTAAGTAATATTTTTATAAATAATGACAAAGTAAACCACTTGAACTTAGAATGGATTATTTACAGTATTGGTTAGGTACTTGATTTGTGTCCAATATAGTTATTTCGTGTAATATTCTGAAAAGAATTCACACACAAGTGAGAAGAAAATACAGCCATATTTAGTCAGTTTAGCATATTCTACTTGCGAATTCTCTCTTTAGGGAAGACGAAAACACGCAGACTAGCGACTGGACGCCGGTGATGAAGGACGTCACGTACTTAATACATAACGGTTGATTTACGTTTTAGGACATAGCATATCAAAAGTTGTTATTAGGTATTGTTACATAAATGCACTAGATTCGACGGCAACTTTTTGACACTAACATAATAGGAACCTAAATAAATACTTATGTATTTGAAGACAAGATAAGGATTGTGCATGTATATATGTATATATCAGTCGCATAAACATAGGTAAGAAAAATTAATAGGAACGAAAGCATATATATCCATTCTGTCAGTTTTGCAATTTGGGGTTGCCACACGTAGAAAAATTTTACTCCATTTAAAATAAGTTAAATTTTAATACTGTATAGTATAATTAAACTCAATCAATTAATTTATAATTTTTAAAATATAGAATAAAAATTAAGGGTTCCAGTGTATTACTTCTTTTAATTCTTACAATTTTTTTTTATATCTTTATACTATTTCCATATCTTTATACTACTTTTATAAACTGGCAACAGTTATTTGGCCAGTTCGGGTAGAACGGCACCGCGTTTTCTCAATCATTCTTCTGCAAACCTTTGCAGAAGGCGGACGCTTACCCTCGCGTTACTGACATTTTTGGTGACCTGGCTGTATCGGAATTTCTGATCCTGATCTTCCAAAGATATTAAATGTAAGTACTTTTTGAAATAAGTTTTTATTTTATACTGTACATAATAATTTTTCATATTTAACAACCGCTTTCCGCTCGCGTCTGAATGACTACATATTATCGAAATACTGCGTTGAATTTATGTTCTTGTTTATGTAATATTCAGGCATTTAAATATTTTTTGAGTAGATATATATTCTTTTTCATTAAGTTAGATAGCAATAAAGATATAAAGATATATTTATTTGTATAAACATGTGTGGGTAACATTATACATATCAATGCAAATGCAGATGATAAAATAAACACTAACGTCTCAACATGTTTTGCCACAATTGGCGTACAAAATAATTATAAAATTTATAAATCTATTAAAGAGACAACTAAAGTTAAAACATATGAAACAATGAACTTATAAATTATCATTTAAAAAATCCTTAATATGGTAATAACAATGCTTAATAAGTAATTTTTTTAGTTCTTTTTTGAACAAATTATTATTATTTATATTTTTCAAATTATGCGGAATTTTATTATATATTAAAGGTGCCATACAAAACACACTTTTACGGAGAATTGCTGTTTTCGCAGAGTGAGGCTGTAGATAATGTTTATATTTCTTGCGTCTATTCCTAACAATATTATCTGCTAATGTAATGTTAGCAGATTTTGAGAGCAACGACTTTTTCACTAACCCAACCATCCGTGCCGTCGTATTTACAAATTACTAAAGGTTTGAGATCGAATTCGAGTTTGTTGTTTACTGTTCGAGTTATCTATTAATTGTGACTAGATTTCAAATATCTTTTTTTTATTTTACCGTAAGGTCGGTAAGGTTATTTTGGCTACTTGTTTTGGAAAACTATCTCGTGTTGATCGTTTTCTAAAATGAAAGTTTCAGTGATAAAAATTGTTCTATGTCATTTTCCGAGGTTTTAAACCATTTTTATATCAATTCGAATCATTTAGGTGCAGTGGTTTAAAAGATAGAGAGTGCCAGGTTTTGTTTTCGTAGGATGTTCGGGTTGAAGACTGTAATACTTCTTTTCCCAGGTTTTAAACTATCGTTGTACCGAATTTCTCGAATCCCATGGGAACGGAAAAACGGGTTAATGTGATTAATTTACTCATTCATTATCAGTTTGTCCAACTTAAGTGGATATAAAAAATCAAAACATGTTAGTGTTACACAAATGTTAAAAATATTGCACTATTTCATTTAGATGGATAATATCGAGCAAAATCCCCGAATGATTTTCGGCGAAGAAGAGGCTGAAGAATATCGGCAGCGAAGCCAGCACCGCACTATAAGTGTGACTTCGGAGCCATCTCTTCAGGGATCTGACATCTCCGATGAGGACGAGTTGGACCGGTATTTTCTTTCATCTAACTTTATATTCATTTAGTATAGTAGTTGTAAATGGAGTGGCAGGTATTATTGACATATAATATATATAGGACTTTCGAATCTGAGGAGAGTGCTGCTCTATCGGAGGCAGCTGGAGACTCCGAAGGCCAAGCAGAATGGGAGGAAGGCCCATTTGTTCCCATCGACGTGCCATCCACTCCACCCAGCCCAGGGCTGCTCGTAAGGGGTACCGCGTCAATGACGCCTTTCCAATATTTTCAGATATTTTTTAATTTATCTTTTTTAAGGAATTTAGCATGCATGACCAACGAGCATGCTGAAAAAATAATCACAGGGACAATCATGAAACCTGAGAGCCGACTCAGGAGGTGGAAAGCCACCACTGCCGAGGAAATTCTAACTTTCCTGGGTATTTTATTCTTTATGGGGACAGTTACACTGTCAAAAATTAATGATTACTGGAAGAAATCACATTTAGTTAGTTTTAATTTACGAAAGTATATGAGCCGCAATAGATTTTTAATAATCTTACGGATGCTGTACTTCAATTATGAAAGTACAAGTACTCATATTTATGATAAAGTGGATCCACTCATCGAATATTTTAATAATACAATGAAAGGTTCTGTTTACCCAGAAAGGGAGCTCACGATAGACGAGTCTATGGTTTTATTTAGAGGACGGCTCGCCATTCGTCAGTATATTAAAAATAAACGCCACAAGTATGGTATCAAACTGTACATATTAGCTGATCCCAAAGGACTTGTGCACAGGATACACATGTATAGGGGATCAGCTGATAGCGAAGTGAGCGGTACTGGACACGCAAAAAAAGTCGTCCTCAAATTAACCGAAGACTTTATTAACGCTGGTCACTCGTTATACATGGACAATTATTATAATAGTGTAGATTTAGCAGAAACTTTGTTACGCCAAAACACGTACTGCACAGGGACACTTCAGGTGAAAAGCAAGGGAAATCCGGTAACAGTGACCAGCAAAAGATTGACAAGAGGTAGTGTCGTATACAGAAAAAATCGGAATGGTGTATGTGTCATGAAGTGGAAAGACAAAAGGGATGTTTTGACTCTTTCCACAGAACATACACCCGATATCCTGAATACAACAAACTGGCGTGGTCATGGCATGTTGAAGCCTGAAATTATTATAAAATATAATAAATTTATGAAAGGTGTAGACCGGTATGACCAAATGCTGTCCTACTACCCATCTGAGCACAAAACCATACGGTGGTATAAAAAAATTGGCATCCACATAATGCAGATGATGTTTTTGAATTCCTATTTCATGTTTAATGGAGGGACTGGGAAAAACATATCATTGGAATCATATAGAAATGAGGTATTGCGTGGCCTTTTGCCACCACCTATTTCAAGAATAGATCCTCCAGCGCTCCCAACACACATGCCCAAGGAATTGAACAGAAATTCCAATGGTGTGTTGAAGCGGAGAAAGTGTGTTAGATGCTGGAGTGTACACAAAAAGAGGAAGGATAGCGGTATGTTCTGCCCTGATTGCGACGTAGGGCTATGCATTGCATGTTATGGCGCATATCATATTGAAAACAAATTATTACCTTAGAACATTAGGGTAATAACTTGTTTGTTTAGCTTTTTATCACCTGATGGTAAGCAATCGGTATTTGGTGATGGGAATTTTGGTGGTGGGAATTTTGGTGGTGGGAATTTTGGTGGTGGGAATTTTGGTGGTGGTAATTTTGGCGGTGGGAATTTTGGTGGTGGTAATTTTGGTGGTGGGAATTTTGGTGGTGGGAATTTTAGTGGTGGGAATTTTGGTGGTGGGAATTTTGGTGATGGGGGATTTGGTGATGGGAAACTGGTGATGGGGAATTTGGTGACGGGCAATTGGTGATTGCGAATTTAGGTTTTGATGACGGGGATGTTTAATGATTGTGGGAAATTTGTTGGTTGGTGGGTTTCTGTGAGGTTCAGGCTTTCTGTTGGATCCTCCTCTCCATAGCTAAATTGGTGGACCAGTCGCACTGTTAAAGTCCACGTTTCTTTCCTGTACGTTAAAGCTTTGCGGCATGTGATGAAGTGTTCATCTACGATAAAGACCCCTTTCTTTTCAATTGAACTGTCCTTGTGCAAATTTTAATTGTGAGAGATATGTATCTCTCATATAATGAGTTGGTTGAGTTTTTGATTTTGGCATGTATTTACATTTTTTTCGTGAAATCAATATTTTTGGCGTGCAAGGTTTGCCTCGCACCTGGTCTGCCTGGATGCCTGGTCACCAGGAATTGGAAAGCACAGGAAATTATGCAAAATTTCGAAAGTGTGCATTGCAATGACACGTGGACTAGGCCTACAGGGGACACCACGAAAAAAAAAACGCGCCGCTTACTCTACCTCCAGGTGGTGTGGAAATGAGTTCATTCAAATGTAATTAGATGTATTAAAATATACCTAAGTACATACATTGCGGCACTCGATCACCAAAAAATGTAAATACATATACATATAAATGGGGATGATGACAGGGTATGAAAAATAAAAATATAATTAGTCCGTAACTTAGGTAATAAAAAAATATTAGACACGGTATTTTTTTATTTTGTTGTATAATAAAACAATACTTAGATAAAACGAATCAAAGTTTAGGAGTGGGGGCTAAAACGTCATTTCTTAGTATAAAATGTACTGAGAAGTGACGTCACGCGACATTTCAAATCAATATATCTTCGAAACTATTCGTTTCCGTAAGAAAATAAAAAATACGTGTCTAATGTTTTTAAATAATCTACCAGACGGACATTAAACTAAAAATTAGTCGTCTACCCCATTCTAGGTCCAATTTGATTTTGTATTGTACTAACTAGCTACTTCCTCGCGATTTCACCCGCTCTGCTCGACTCCTACTGCTGGTAGCGTCATTTGCCCTTCCTCCATAAATGGATTATCCAACACATAAATAATTTTTCAAATCGAACCTTCAGCTTTCAGTTTCAGTTTTATATAATAGTAATAATATAGTATTATTATTATTAAGTATAATTATGTTTATCAATAAATAATAAACAAGATAAAGTATGTTATAAAGATGCCTATGTACTCTGTTTTTATATATGTATTGTCCTCTGTGTTGAATGTGTGTACATAAATCAATACCTAAATAAATAAGAATTGCTTTTTACTTATTTTTATTGACTCTGTTCATATTCATAACATTGTGAATTTATCTATAACTAGTCCGATGATATTGAATATAAAAGACAAACATGACACAGTGTTTTATTTTAAATATATATCCTATCTAATCGGTTGTGCGGAGATGCGGCCAGCGCGCTTGCGCGAGCGAAGTACTTAGCTCGGGAATGTTCGGCTATGTTCGGGCGGCCGTGTGCCGGGAGCGCAGGAGCTTACCTACTTTAACATCTACCACTGGCATCGCATTACATACGTTTAAAAATCCAACATCAACCTCCTATGTACCTATTTGAAGTTGGTTAATTAATATACTAAACCCATCCCCTAAATGTAACAAAAGTTTTTCTGAAAACCGCATCAAAATCGGTTCAACCAATCGCGAGATAATCGCGTACAAACAAACACAGGTCACACTGAGAACCTCATTTTTTTTAAGTCGGTTAAAAATACAACAATTTTCTAAATATAAACCCACTTACCAACTACAGAATTATTACGTTCATCCTTAGTTTATATTTAGATAAAATTTTCAATTTCACTACATAAATTATATTTTGGATTATAAATTCCATTGCAGTACGTGTCATGACCCTAACTTTTATCTACAGATACATACTATTCTACCGTATTTTCGTAAGTATAATAAACAAACGCACAGACGCGTCGCGGGCACCCGCCGAGAGTCGAGCGAACGCATATCCGAGTTCCGGGCACACGGTGAGAGCCGTAAGAACGCGTATATGAGTTTCCGGCACATGAAAAGGGCAAAAATTGAACGCAATACTGCGTGCGGGCACTGTAGTTATGTCTTTATTTCGGGCACTGGAAAAATCCACAGGGCAGTGAATGCGTTAAAAAAGTACTTTTTGTATACGAGTAGATATAGTGTCTTTCAAATGTACTTGATACTACGTTCTTCTGTTCTGACAACACCCGCAAGAAGAGTAGAGGTGGGCAAAATGTGTCGTTTGTTTCTTATAAGTTGAATTTTGGTTTATAGTGAAGGAGTAACTTATTGTTCTTGTAGTCAAACTTCATCCAAATAGTTATTATGAATATCGAGGTCTGGTTCACCCAGTGCGGTTGTAGCTCTAGTGAGTTGTCTATATGTAGTAGATATTAATGTTCAGCTGAAATGTAGCATTTTCCATGCATTTAAAGATCAATGGTTTTGGGAATAAAATAATATTGTTGATGAATAAAATAATAAGGAAGACATATTATGTCTTTGATACTGGTGTCTAGATATCAGAAAGGATAAAATTAAAACATAATTAATGTATTTAGAAAGAAAGATAGAAAGAAGAAATAAAGAAAAAACATTTATTTGGCAATTACACGCACAGAAAACAAAGAATATAAAAAAATAAAAGTACATATATCGTCGGTCAGAAACAGTAATGGAACATTTCAAAATGATACGTTTTTGGGTACTGAGGTTTAAAGTTTTTGGAAATATTCAAATGTGATTTTACTTTACTTTTAGGTAATTTTATGTTTTTTTATTTATTGAATTAGGGTAAACCACCCAATTATTGGCACTTTAAGCAGCTTCTTCACAAAACCGGTAAAATTTTCATATAAAAATATGTTTTAACAAAGACAAAAGCATTCATATTGGTCTTCTAATCTCTGCAGAATATTATAAAGTACTTGTCATTAATAAATTATATCGTTTTCTTTAATATAATGTACTTTTAAAAAAAATGCCTCAAACACCAGTTGCTGGCATAGCCAAACCTTTTATTGGCAGTGATTATTACCTATTATTGTCACTGTTCTCCCAAAACTGAAAAATAGCTGCTAGGTCTTATGTAGGGGTTTTAAAACGTATTTTACATCGTCTATGTACCTATTTTAAGATAATTCATAATAGAAATAAACAAAATAAAATCCTTTGTTAAGAAAAGTAACATTTATTTGTATAGGAACATACCATATCAATTGAAACGCTTATAGTTAAATCAACTTTACATAAAGTATTAAAACAAAACCAAAAAAACCTTCTACCTAGGCTTGAACAAAAAATAGAACAATTTTAGCTTAAGACTATGTAACTTCCTTAATTATATTTAATTAAATCACAGCTCTAATTGGTTGAGATCATACAAGTAAGTAATTCTTAAGTAACGTTAATCATCTGAATCAGTCTCAGTCAACATTTTTTCTATCTCAGCAGCACTGTAATTTTTGCTAGTACTTGCTTTTTGGTTTTCTTTGTTAAAATTTTTAGGTAAAGCTTCCAATTTGTCATTGTCAAGTTTATAGAAATCTTCCGAAAACAAAATTTTGGACACATTGTCTTTGGCTTTAGTTTGTTTTTTGTTTTTCTTTACCATTTTCTTCTCTTTTTCCAATTTCTTTTGTTCTCTTTCTTCTTTTCTCTTTTTAACACCTTCTGCTTTCTCTTCTTTAATTTTAATTTTTTCATTTTCCTGAGCTTTCCATTCGGCAGATGTTAGTACAAAAGGCGTCTTCTTGGTATTTTTTATCCCTTTTCTTTGTGGCGTTTTAGGAAGTACCAAAATATCTTGTAATTTTACTATAGTATTGTCTTCCTTAACCAGTGGTGCTTTCAGTTGCATAAAATTATTTTGATCTGCACTTATTTTGACATCTCCAGTTACTCTGATAGACGGTTTTTGGGGAGTTGAATATATTGATGATTGCTGCTGACTGCTAACGGATGCTTGGTAGATAGATGTTTGTTGAACAAATGTTTGCTGTGTGGATGGTTGTTTGTTGTTTGGTACGTAAGTGAGTGATGGCTGTAAGATCGAAGCATGCTGTAAGGAAGTAGAGGCTTTTTGAGAGGATACTTGCTCTATGGATTCTGGTTGATTGAATGCTTGTTGAGTGGGTGAAAGATGATTGTGTGATTGTTGGCTAACTGTTTCTGGAATACGTTCTTGAAGGGTTGATATATCTTGTATAAAATAATTTAATTCAGAGCATTGGACTATTTCCTCAACAACAACATCTTGAGAAACAAAATCGAAACTTTGCTCAGCAACATTTTTATTTGGAGAGTTATTGATAATTATCTCCATATTTTCAACATCAAAATTCCCTATATTGTCATTCTGACGCTCTGTGTCTAATTTTGAGCTATTATGCAAATCATTTTGAAACGTGGTAAAGAAATTCCAGATTTTCAATAAACATTCACTTGACTCCTCGGGCCTCAATTCTCTTTTATCAATTTTATGTATTGTACTTTCTCCCAACAACTTCGTAAAGTCATCTTTCGTGAGCACCCGATTGTCTGTTACATGCTTGGGTTGCGCTATGGTAATGTTATTTTTATTTGAAGTTCCTAGGCACTTGGAATAGTCCACTGCATCTTCATTAAAAGGACAAAGTCCAGTTGCTCTAAAGCCATTTATAATTGTTGACGGGTTAAGACTTTTTTCTATAGTATCTTTAAGTAATGGCACAAATTGAGTTTTCGTTAACGCTTGAGATGGATTATTTCTTCGCCATTCTAGGACAGTTTTCTGCCATTGTGTTTTTAATGGTTTAAATGCGGCGACGTCTGCAGGTTGAAGGAGTCTAGTGCAGTTAGGATATAACGCTATGAGAATTATACCTAAATTAGTACATAATTCACTGGTAGCATACGTCAAGTGCGATTTGTGGCCATCTACAAAAAGAACTACAGGAAATTGTGTGCCAGTTTTTATGAGGTGAGGATGTAAAACGTTTTTGATATACTCAAAAAATACATCGGAATTCATCCATCCGTTGTCACTTAAGCCCACGCCCCAATCTTCAGGAATCTTAGAAGTTATCTCGCCAGGTAATCTTTTATATGGAAAAATTACCATTGGCGGAGTAACTTGACCATCTGCACCAAAAGTAAACATGACGGTTAGTGAAGTTTTAGCTTGGGCGTGGTCAATTTCGTATACGTTTTTTTCTCCCTTAGAGCTTAAAACAATACCTGTTTTTGGACATAGAACAAAATTTGTTTCATCGCCATTGAATACTCTTGATGGATCTGATAAGATGTCATAGTAGCTATTTTCAGTCATGTAAATCCTTATTTGTTCAAACCAGCCTCTTACATCAGATGCAGAGACCGTGGAGCTGGCAGCTGTTACGGCTTCTGGTGTTCGAAATGTAACTGTTGGATGTCTAGCTAAAAACAATTTAAACCACTTGTCACCATTCCTAAAACTACTGGCTCTCCCCGATTTATTAATAAAGTCTGAAACACTCTTTATCAAATCTTCTTTCCTCTTCGGAAACCCTTTTTTGCTACTGATTTTTATCCAGTCAACAAAAAGCTGTTCTTCTTCGTCAGTTAAAATTGTGGGAGGACCGGGCTTAGAGCGATGATCAGGATTTTTCAGTCTGAATTGTACAGTAGACCGTGGTACGCTGAAGGTTTTTGCAGCAAGTTTTTTGCTCATGCCTTTTGATATTTCGTGGAGAGCTTTTTGTAGGTTCTCTTCTGTATAAATTTTCCGTTTCAAACATTTTTTACTATTTTTTTCTCTAGACTTCTTCTGACTAGGCTTCATTTTGAAAGTGGCTGAAAAGACAATATTTTATTTTATTGGCACGTTTTTACCCAATGTTTGGCACCCGTGCCAATAAATGGATTTTATATAATTGGCAGGGGGGCAACTTTTGGATTGGTGTATCCAAAACGTTAGAAAATATTTTTAATTTAATTTAAACTCAATTTTGAGAAAAACAAGGTATAATTTTTAATAAACTCAAATTATTTAAAATGCCCTTTTATTGGCATGTATGCCAATAAAATGGATAAACCAATATTACGCATACCAAATGTTGTCACCCCACAAATAACTAAAAGTTGGCGGTTAAATGATAAAATAATGTTTTAAAAAGGCAGTTAATATATTCAATAATAAGACAAAATGATTATGTATAAGAAAAACAAAATAGATTTTCAAGTTTTAAAAGATTATGATAGCTCTTACCTTAGTAAAAAACGAATATTTTGATTGTTTTTGTCGCACAGGTCGCGGCTTGTCAAACAGATGGTAAATGCGCCGCCATGTTTGAAAAAAAATAAAACGTGTGTTGCCAGTTGAGTAATAAATGATACTACTGTTTAATTTCTACTAAAAAATTTTAGTCTGGCTACAAATAGATCTTAATTTTCTTAAAAAACTAGAGCATGCCAATAAATTGGTGGAGTGCCAATGATTGGGTGGTTTACCCTA